GGGTCTTGCTCTTGCTCAGGCTGGTTTCGAACTCCTGAGCTCAAACAATCCGCCCGCCTCGGCCTCCCAGAGAGCTAAGATTACAGGCGTGAGCCACCGCTCCTGGCCGACTTTATGGTCTTAATACATAGAGTTCATACAAATCAATAAGAAATTATGTCACAGAAATATGCTATCCTTTCTTGCTTTCAGGTTTGAGTTAAGGCTAGCTCCTTTTTAGCCTTTAGTTCTGCAAAAGCTTCCTAATTTGTCTTCCTGCCTCTGGTCTTCCCTCTTCAAACCCTCCCTCGCCCTGTCCTCAGAGGTATTCTTCTAAAACACAAACGTCTTCTTTGAAACCGTGAACGGCTCTCTGTCACCTAGATAAAGGTGAAAATTCTTTGCTTGGCACTGAAGACCCTTCTTTTAACCTTTCCAGCCTCTTCTTTTTTTGGCCTGCCACCTCGTGAGCCCCATGTGCTAATCTGGCTCCTTGGCTACTCCAGACTTCTCTCAGCTGTCTCTGCCCAACCCCCACCCTTCCCCAGTGCTCTGCTCAGAGCCTCGCTGGTCTTCCCAGACAGCCAGCAACTATCCTCCCCACCCTTCCCAGTGATAGTTGTACACCACTATTAGCATTTGCCAGATTATAATTTTAATATAAAATTAAGATGTGTTTAAATTTTAATGTATATATTGCAGTTATAATTAGTCATCTTAATGTCATCTTGTTCACCCACTTCTAATGAAAGTGCATCTCTATTCAACTCTGTTTTCCTAGAATGGCACACAGAGACTTGAAATAATGAATAACTGAGAAGAAACTCAGTAAGTGCTGTTAAACAAGTGAATGTATAATTAGATTGAAAGAATTATATAACTTATAGTGGAAAAGTACATGTATGAGGTCTGTCTGGAAAGTATCCAGCCATCGTATTTAATATAACGGGAACTGTTTGCGCGACGTCAACGTAACCTGGCAGCCAAGGAGAGTGGACTGGAATGTGCATGCGTGAACAGCGACACCTTCGCCGCACCAGTCCGTGGGGCGCTGGATGCCGTTGAGTGAGCATGTGCACTGTGTGGCTGTGGCATTCAAAATGACTGAGCAAGTAGAGCAACGAATCTGCATCACATTTTGCGTCAAGCTTGAACATTCCTCCACGGCAACTATTCGGATGATTCAGGAGGCTTTCGGGATGATGCAACGAGTGCAGTCCAAATAAAAGTGTGGCACAAATTCTTCAAAAGTGGTCAAGAATCTGTTGAAAGTGATCCACGTTCTGGAAGGCCTGCAACAAGCAGAACACCTGAGAATGTTGAGCGTATACAGGCTGCAATCAACAAAGACCAGCGAGCGACAGTGCGAGAACTGAAGCTGATCTGGGGATTCCAAAAACGACTGTGTCCGAGATTTTGACGCAGGATCTCGGCATGAACCGTGTCCTGGAAAAATGCGTCCCGCGGCTTCTGCTACCAGAGCAAAAGGAACGTCGTGCTGCATTTGCTAATGACTTGCTTCAAACCGCTGCCAATGAACCAGATTTCCTCAAGAAGGTCGTAACTGGAGATGAATCGTGGGTCAGCTAGGACCGGAAACCAAGGCCCAGTCGTCCCAGTGGAAGGAGCCTGGTTCTCCACGCCAGCAGAAGGCGCAGCAAAGTTGCAGCAAGGGATCAAGACCGTGCTAACGGTGATTTTGACTGGAAAGGTGTTGTCCATCCTGAGTGCGCTCCTCCTGGCCAAACGGTTAATAAGGAGGACTGCCTCAGTGTTTTCCTCGGTTGAGAGAGGCAACGCGAGGAAAACAGCCGCTGCTGTGGACAACTGGTGATTGGCAGCTTCCTCGCGAGAATGCGCCGCCCACGCATCACTTCTCTTGCAGTTTTTTGGCGGAACATCAAATCACCCAGGTGACTCAGCCCCGCTACAGCCCAGATTTGGCACCCTCCAAGTTCTGGCTTTTCCCAAAACTAAAATCACCTTTGAAGCAGAAGAGATTTCAGACCGTAGATGAGATTCAGGAAAATATGACAAGGCAGCTGATGGCGACTCCAACAAAGGATTTTGTAGAGTATTTTGAACAGTGGAAGAGACACTGGGAAAACTGTGTTGAGGTCCCAAGGTGCCTACTTTGAAGGGGACTGAGGTGTCATTGTCCTATGTACAGTGTTTCTTGTATCTCTTCAATAAATGTCTCTATTTTTCATATTACATGGCTGGATACTTTCCGGGCAGACCCCATATATTTTTTTATATATATTAATATAAAAATACATAAAGACTAGGCACAGTGGCTCACACCTGTAATCCTAGCACTTTGGGAGGCCAAGGTGGGAGGATCATTTGAGGCCAAGAGTTCGA